AAGAGGGAGACAAATTTCGAAACGAACCGTGTTCAATGAACTTCAGAAAGTCGCTGTTATCATCCCAGAAACTTTCATTCATAATATCCGCATCAATTTTTGGTTTCAACGACTCATCGTGATAATTTTCGGTTTCGATCAGAGAAGTTGTTCCGTTCGTTTGAGAATAGTCGAAGGCATCCGCTTCCTGGCTCAACAATTCGCGATACCTCAGCACCGTCCTTAAATTGGAAGACTGTATTGCTTGGTGCATTGATAACGGCACGAAGAAACAGTACAGATAAGGGAATCCGCACAAAGATTGTGTCACATTGTGTCAGAGGATGACGACACGATAACGTGAAATGATATTTAGCTTCTGAACGCGAGGTTTAGTGCATAGATTAGTTCTCCCTGGGTTTAGGCTGGAGTTCACTGCAGATATTGGACTACATGAGTTTAGAGATATCTGGATGTTCTTGAATCCTCGCAAAAATATTCACGCCACTCAGCGTTTTCCGGATACAGCAACAATTTTGGGACTGAATTACAAATATAATCTTAGAACCACTGGAGAACAGCACGATTGGTTATATAAATTCAAGTTTTAAATCTGTACGTTAGCTGTATATGTATAAGATGTACACGGATATCATGCACTATCGATTCGGATGATGAAATGTAACTTTCGTATATCTCATTTGGAGGATCTCCTCCCTTTTGTGTTTGTNTACTTTGTGTTTCGATAATATAAAACAGTGTTATTACAAAATAAACGCCGGAAATTGCATTCGTTTCCAGAATGGCTTGATCGCCATAAAATGCTGTAGACATTCACAGTCCGTTCGTTTCGCTCATGCATATGGTGATCCCTAACAACAGCTCACGATTTTCACCAGTTGTTCAACTCAACCAGAGTTTCTCAACCACGAGTGCAAGATAACATTTCATTTTTTATGCATTGAAGTAAGTGAGGGTAGATTTCAACGCATACATGTGGATAAAGTAAGTGAGGATGGACTTTAACGTATATATTTTTGAAAACGTTGGAACGTGCGCTAATGGCGTACATTTATCTACAGTACAAATATGGATGTTGTGAGGGGTACGACGAGATTTTAAAATTTTTCAAAAGTTGACGGACGAGGAAAAGGTTGAGAACCACTGAACTAAACGAATCCAATTATGTTACATATGAAAGCTTACCAAATTGAAACGCATTGTGGTTTACCGTCAGGAAGATAATAGACATGGAAAACGAACAGCTGAGGTAGAGCACATGTGATCGCAGTCAACCATGCCACTGCGATTATTTGATTGGCAGCAAAACGTGACTTCTGCAACTCTTTTCATAAGTAATCGTAAATTTTTCCCATTTATTTCTCATCACCCGAATCTTCTTTGCATCAATTTCACTAATTGTAAGCACAATTGCATGTAATGAGATAATTTTGTTTACGTTCCATCACAAGCTAAAATCATGAAAATCCGAGCGATTGTAAAATGATTAAGTGCCGTTGATACCTGATGAACTTCGCGAAGATGTGCAGTGATATAGAGACGATCTGCTGCGATCAGCACCTGCATATTCGCGGTTAAATGCAACGAAAATGTGTTGATGAATTTTGTGGTTCGACACAACAGATCACCACCATACCACTGAAACTGTGCTCATTATTAGAGATTTTTAGCCGTCAAATATTGATATCGAATCCAAAAACACAGATTTAATAAGTCGTATTATTGTATTTCATTTCACGGTGATCTAGAATGGCGTATCTGAGCTGTTCACGGCACGATAGGATGCTTGTGATTATCGGATTCGATAAACTTACGTTATAAGTGCTAATCCAAATGATTTGCGTTGGTGCATAAACGAACAAAACGATCAGATCGGCTACCGTTAGACTAATCTTGAAGCTCATCAATCTTGCTGCTAAAATCACGTGACGACGACATTTCGAGTGGAATCTGCAATTTTGATTTCTTTCATATCAAACAGCACTTGCGTATAAAATTTTAAAACGCAACAGGAACTATTGAAATGCTCAGTGAGTGAGGAAATTGTGAATAATTGAATAAAAAGTTGAATTTGTGTGCAGAAAAAAAAGAAAATCGGTAACGAATGAATGAAACTTCTGTCAAAAATTATAATAATTTGCGATTGTAGTTTCATTTTGGGATACATTGATTTTTTCAGATCATCGGTTGCTTTGAGCATGTTCGATTTCAAATGATTTTATAGTTTCAGCATATAAGTTGACATGGAAGAGCATTGATATGTGATAAGTGAGGAGCTAAATTTCGATAATAATCTTTTCCTGTCGAGATGCACGTAAAGACTTCTATGAAAACTTGGAGCTTGAATGAGTTCTGTCTCTCGTCAAACTATTCATCATGTGATCTTCGAACCCTTCATCCAGCTTATGTATTCAAACACACCAATTCAAATGGTTTTTTGCTTTTATTCACCGCAACATTATTCGAAACCCTAATCTTATTTTCCAACGCACGATAGTGTTATGTTCGGCTGCCGTTGATTATGGTAACGCTATGTTTGCGAATGCATTGTCAGTGAACTTTTTCGGTATAATTTGATGAATCGATGTACGTGAGAGTCTGATAGCTGTAGGATTGGGATTACAAATTTCCGTTGGCGGATGAGGTACTGACTTGAGGAGAGGGATTCAACCAATGTTCAAACAAGAAAACAGATCACCTTCTTGCCGTATAGGCACAAGTTGCAAATCCTAAGATCATTGCTAGGGCATATATCGCACTTTCGATAAAGTAACTGATTTGCTCGGGTGTATATCCATGCTGTTGTTCATATGAGTATGCCTCTTCTGATTGATCTTCCATTACCCTGAATGATTCTCGAATCTGTAATAAATTCGAACTTGTTCGCTAAGTGAATTTGCTGAATACAGCCATCGAGAGAATGTTTCGAAAAATGATTCGAAGACTTTAAACAAATGGCGACACGCATAAAATACGACAGCAATGACGAGAATCGCATGTAAGATATTGATAACGTTCCGCTCAACAAACAAATCACCGTAGTTGATCAAGAAAAACGGAGATAAACAAGTGAAAGATCAATTTCAATGAAGAAAGATATGCTGAAATGTTACTCTATGACGTTCGTCATTCCCAGTCAACTCATTAGCCGTGCTGATCGTCACGTCGTAGTCCACTGGGACCAGGAATATTATCCTCCTGATAGCGACTAGCGAAAAGAATTTTGCGCTCATGAGATACTGATGTGATATCTATCAACAGCCGATTGCTGCTGCATTAGCAATGATACAAACACACCAATGTGCATTGATATCTTGTGGTAAGATCTCGTCTTTGACTGATAATTTGTTCACATGCAGAAGATGCAGAAGCATACTGACACCCTCAACGGTACTTCATATCTAAATACTTATGCATCAATGCACACCCACATAATGAATCGTTGATGTTGAATCATTAAGTAGGATGACGATCAAAAGTACATTTGTGACGACAATCGCCACGCACATGATGCTAATGTCGATGACGAGCCCTGGCTCAATTACGAGAAAAACGAATTCTCACGAGTTTTTCATTTGTGAATCAATGGAATAGCATAGATATCCGTGTGCAGTCACTTCTGAACATCAAACTGAATCATTCAATCTCATTCGAAATATCGCAAAATATCGCTGAACAGCACAGCCATATTTGGACAATTTCAGCGAGCTGTAGAAATGGAAAATTTTTATTTTATCAGAATCACTTTTACCTCTGAAAGTAGAGACTTTACTTTTTTACCACTGGAAAATTTTATCTGATTCGGTTCAGACACTCA